GTATCGTTGCACCCCTAGTTTTTAGGCGTGTGAGAAAAAAGCTTTTGTACAAACCAGTTGAACTGTTTACAATCAGTGAGACTCCTCTTCCAACAGATTGCAGCTTTTAGATTAATTTAAACATGGGATATTTTTTTTACTTTTAGGGGCAGAGAATTGTGCATTATTTTATACATATATATAGTTTTACCTGTTGCATTGCTGATTCCATGGAGCATGTTATTTTCCACATTTCCAAGAAGGATTGAATCCACAGTGACGTTTGCTTTCAGCAACTTGGCTGTCACAGCAGCTGGGTCCATAAAGGACCTATGGCAAGATGAAAACAGTCAACTGCTGCCCCAGAAAAACATAATTGATGGGTGATCAAAGGCAACTTAAGCAGAAAGGGAAACTTACCCAGAATCATTGCCATCAGTGAGGCACAGGACGCGGAGTCTACAATCTGGGAAGCTCGCCTTGATCTTTTCCAGCTCTGAAGCTCCACGTCGTAGCGCGTCATACAGCAGAGTACATCCGCTCGCCTCAAGGTTACGTGTGTGGAACTAAAAAACAAAAGAACCCCAAAAAGGCGACAAGGAAAAAAAATTATATTAGCGCCACCGAGCAAGTTGTTCATTTACAGCATGTTTATTTATTTACTGGAAAATGGGGGGGGGGGAGAGTTGCCAGGCTGACCCAAGTAAAATTTTTATTTTTTAGCTTTATTCTATCAAAACTTTGAGTTACTGATCAGGTATCTCAAAACTCAGTTATTCTGAGTATGTCAAAATTTCCTCACACATAATACCACCTCACAATTTTTACATATAGAGGGCAATAAAATTCTTCTTGAGTGGAGGTAGCAAGCTTCCAGAGGAAAGTCTTCCATCCTCACAATGTTTTGCAATCACCTTGAACTTCTCCAGATTTTCTGTGAATGTGTGGAGCATTTTCACCATGGAGTCAAACTTTACAAGACCAATGACGTGATGGAAATCGTACGCCATGCTCCTCGTGGCAAAGTTGTCAAAGAGCTCTTTGACAGCATTGATTTTCTTTATTTCTGCATTTTCGTAGCACTCCTCTTCCATCGAGGAGCTTGTATCGATCAGTACCTAAAGTAATAAAGTCAGGAAGAGGAAATGTTTAGCAAATGTTTTGATTTGATTCCTTTAAGACTAAAATTTTCCCAGATCTCACCAGTATTGCCTCATTTGGAGTTCTGGTTGTAACAAATGACTGGTCGTCTCTGTGGTCGCCAGTGCTGTATTAAAAAAAGGACAAAACACCATCTTTATAGCTTTACACAGTTAACACGAGACAAGCATCACATACTCTGTGAATTTCCTGTTATTGGTTGGGTAGATTGTGCCTTTAATGCAGATCAAGATGCACAATTCAGTTCAATTGAATTTTATTTATATAGCGCCAAATCACAACAACAGTAACTTTTAGGTATTTTATCTTGTGAGATAAAGAAAAAAGGATCAGACAAGCCACTATGAGCAAGCACTTGGTGACAGTGGGAAGGAAAGAAACAGGAAGAAACCTCCAGCAGAAACCAGGCTCAGGGAGGGGCAGTAATCTGCTGTGACTGGCTGGGGGAGGGGAGGAAGACACGCTGGAAGAGCCAGAAATTAATAATGACTGATAATTAAATGCAAAATGGTGTATAAACAGTGTGAAAACAGGTAAGTGAAGAAGAACCTCTCAGTTCGTCATAGAAGACTCCAGCAGCCTGCACGTATTAAAGCATATATTATGTGCCAGAATGAGTCTGCCCTTCATTAGTTCACTCCATTTTGTTTTGGTTTAGGTACTCACTTGGCTGCTAGCAAGTTTAAATCCATCGTTTTTACTTTTCCATCCAGACAATTGTGCACTTCGATCATATCAGCTGGTCTTTTGTTTTTATGCAAATAAATGCCCAGATTATCTGACAGAGAAATATGAAAATGAAGCAAACATTAAGTATAACGCCTCCCAACACACATGATAAAAACTTGATGTCAGAGGTCAAAGGCAAAGTAGGGGAACTGGTGGAAATTCCTTGTCCACTTAATTTAAAGTGACTAACAGTTCTACTGTAACAGGAGCAACAGTAGAGGCAATCTAAGCAAAGGTGGAACATACCCCTCAATTTAGACTTAGACTGCTGCAAAATGAACACATCTGTGGACTAAAACCTGACAAGTCAGTGGCATCTGCTGTATGATACAAGTGTTTGTAAGGTATAAAAGTGATGTTTCACTGAAAGATGTGAATATTTAGCCTGGAAAAGGATGAAATACCTTCACTAAGTAGAACAAGGCAGCTCTGATAATGTCCCAGGTCCTTCAGATGTAGAGGTGGGGTCACATTAAGGCGAGGGAAAGATTTCAAACGTTCCACCATGCTGCCAAAGGTCCACTGAATATTCACCTGAAAGCTGTTTCATTCAATGAATTAGTAAAAAAAAAAAATCTTTAAAACAAGTCATTATTCAACCTGTTTATATTGTCTTTGAGACAATCCTAGACACCAGATGAATATGTGTAATTAATACATAATAATTAATAATAAAGACTAACTAACTCAAAACTATGTTTTAACTCAGACTGCTTGCATAGGATATTCAAGCATTGGACAGTGTAGACTAGACACTGTCAGGTTAAAATACATCACTGTGCCTTGGGCCTTGAGTTACTCTTAATTTCTTTGTATTTTGCTTGAAAAATGGGAGATGGGTGCAGGGATTTATTAAAACGTGCAAATTTAGATGGAAACAAAGTACATAACAGGGCTGTGCCATATATTGTCTGAGATAATAATGGTATAAATTTGTGTGTTATATAAAAGTGTCATATCGCAATATCTTTTTGTATTGCAGTACCATATGTTTATGCCTGTCTGACAGCATGTCAGCCTTCGATGACAATTTACTACCTAAAAAGGGAGACATTTAAACAAATTCCAACGAAGCACAATACTTTGCAAAACTGATCCTGCTATAGGTGGAAACAACTAATTTCAACACTTGAGCCAGGCTCATACCAAGTATGGTACAACACGCCAATAGTGTTGTTTTTCTATCCAGTTTGCCTTTACAGCATTTGCAGTGTGTTTGGGATCATTTTTTTAAAACATGATTCAGGTCAGTGCTAAGTGGCTTGAAAAAACAAAGCAATTCTTCTGAAAATGATCCTGGCTCCTTGGACGCAAATATAAAGAAATGAGTGGTGGGTCAAGACTTGTGGACAATACTGTATTACTAAAAAAAAATCATGAATGAATAATCAAGAATTCATGAGAAATTGAATGGCATTCATTAAAAACCACCTGCAGAGCAAGCATATACTTTAAACCTAACTAAGTCAATAATTTTTACTGTTCAGCTGTGCATAGGTGTATCTTAATTTGTTATCTATACCAACAGAAAGTAAAGGAAATCTGCTCAAGTTGTGTTGAAAGAAATAACTCAGTCACACATACTTCTGACCAGATGTCTTGTCGTGGAGACTCCACAGAGGATACGTTCGGACAAATCGAGGAATGCTGAGCAGGATTTTCTCAATGTCAGTGGCTCTCTGTAGTGAGAATTCTCGCAAAGGCTCTTCGGTGCAATTTGGAATCTTCTCTCCATCTAAACAAAATAAAAAGAAGCCAGAAACACATAATTCACCACCATAATGCAATTTATTAAAAATTTCAACCAACTAACGTTTTATATCTGGTGATGCAGCAATGCTTGTGCACAAGAGTTCATTTTAAAATAATTAACAGTTCTATACATTTTTATATTAATACATAGCTATCACTGCACCAGGCTGAAGAAGGTGCTACCTTTAAAGGCTCTCTCATTATGGATGCTTTATACTGTCAAATCCGGTTATTTTTATTTTATTTATTTTATTTGAATATGCAAAGTAATTAATAAACTAGTATTGCAGCAAAAATTACATAAAATATTAAACCTATATTCATTTAGACACATTAAAACCTTTAAACTTTATAGTTTAAACTCTTTCAGTGCTATTTGTACCTTTGATTTTCTGAAGGACATACGCCCTTTCAAAGACATCTGGTACTCCAGGTACTCTGACAGGTTCGCAGAAATGGTCACCATCTTTGGACACGAGAGAGATGGGAGCATAGACTTCATGGTTTGATGCTTGTTTCTGTCGAAACAGAGCCAAGTATGATACATTTAAACTACAGAGATAATATCTATACAAAATACTGGGAAAGACCAGCTTCTGTTCAAAAATAAACTCAGTATACCTCAATTTTTGAAAGGAGATGTGCCCAGCAGTACAATGAATTTTCAAAGACATCCTGGTCCTCTATGATTTTTTTCCCTCGCTGTGTTGCTTGCTGGGGCAATAACTCCCTGAAGAGCATGTATAAGCCCTCAACAACTGCAATCTGCAAGAAATCATTCAGTATACAACAAAATTTTCATGCAAAATAAGCAGTGAGTAAATCACAGTTATATACTGTACAAACGATGAGCCTTTTACGTGCTTCCTGCATGAGTATCAGAATCAGAAGATGGCTTTAGACACACATACATGGATATCATATCTCTACATTCATGAATACTGTGACACTTCAGATGGTTTCATTCACAAGTTACCATCATGGCAATATCATTTTAATTAAATAAATGAAATAAAATTACAGTACACTCAAAATGATGCATGTTTTACAGCCTAAATCACCACATAGCAGGTGGGAGGTGACGTGCAAAAAGCTGCTGTGTTAAAATCAGTGGACAAAACATGCAAAAAGTTACATAAAAGTCTGATACCAGATTTGTTGGAGGATTACGAGGCCAGTGGTGCAAAGACTTAAAACTGCAGCAGCATGTCAGCTGTCCTCTATTTATGAAGAAGATAGTCTGTAACAAGTCTTACACCACCTCATACTTTTTACCTTCTGGTTCCTGGTCATCCTTTCATTCCTGCAGAGTAACTGATGCAAACTTTGGGTGAGGGGGTTACATCCCGTCAATTTTCGTATGTAAGCTATCAGTTTGTTCCGGTTTATTTCAGGAAGGTCTTTCTACAAGTAAATACACAGAAATATTAGAATTTGGGTTAATCAAAAAAATTTAACACAATCTAAACTAAATTTACCACATTTCAGTTTAGTTTGTGAACACAGGTCAACAAAGTGCACAATAAAGAACCCACAGTGTTTTTTTTCTCCAGGGTTAATACTGGACAAATGGCCTGCTGAAGACAAAGCTATATTTCAACTGATGAAAAAAATTTCAATAAGGAGGTTCATTGATTCACAGTAGCTATGGCATCTTTTTGTTTTTTTTTAAAATAGATTCACCATACAGTCTAGTTATAATAGCTGCTGTGTGATTTTGGCTATTTTTCCAAGTACAGAGGTCACAAAGACAAAACTATAACCAGAATGAAAATAGACTGATTCCTTCTTTGCTTTTGAGAAGCAATTGAACACTTCAATCGTAATGTGATTGAACAGGTTGCCTGGTGGCAAACAACATGCCTCCAAACAGTTGTAGCTTGACTAGAGTCACTCTCAACCAGACTGGCGAAGCTTTGCAAATAACTGCTAAGCAACGACAGACTGCCAACATGTTGCAATCAATCTGAGTGTGTCTGCACCCATAAAAGCAACTCATCTGCAATGCCTCTCTCTAAAATAGGGAACTCTACTTAACAAGGTGGCAACTGGTTGTATTCTGATGATATTCCTATGTAAACGCAATGTAAAGAGTGAATATGTGGTTCTACTTCTAAATCGCTGTCTCGCATCAACCTCGTCATTATTTGTGGAAGAATTTCTGAGGTTCACCAATGCCTGGACTGAATGTAAGGACTTTATGTGAATTTCTGTGTGCAATCATCTGTTATGTAGTCTTTCAGCTATCCGTTTCAAAAAAACAGAATATCACCTTGAAGACAGGCTAAATAACAGAATAAATAAAGTTCATGTTCATAGGATAGCAAGACAATGGGACAATATGGGACAGTGTTAAATATAAAACAGCTTACCCCAACAGCATAAAGAGAAGACAGGAACACACTGATTCCTTTCTGGCTTTGTTGGACTGAAGGCACGACATCATTGATGTAGAAAGTTTCATCAAGGGGAGTCTCTTCAGTAAACGAGGACAGAGCGAAGGCAATAGTTGACCCTTCAGAGATTCCACACTTTTGGAGTATGTCACCACCCAAATTATTACCTCTATATAAAACAGGGACACCAGAGAACAGAAGAACTCCATCAATGCTAAGACTTTAAGCATGTGAATGTGGGGGTGGTGATGGGTGACAAGTAACAAAAATACTGGTGGCTACCAATGCTACCCTTCGTTTTCTAGTAAATGAGTGGATGGAATGTGATGAATGTGAAAAGCCTAGGTGACTTGCTTCTTCCAGTTAAGAGGAACCTTGACCTCTGACCTTGAGGTTAAGGTCTTTTAGTAGATCTAAATATGGTATGACTTTCAATATCCTGTGTTGCTTTGTTCTGGAGTGATCGTATTCACAAACCAGGTTGTCCCTGCTCGCAGCAGAGTGATGACAACACTTTTTCAGCCTTTTACGTCTGATGGGTAAAAACAAGGTTTTTGTGAGGCAGTTTACCTGGGATGGAGGACATGTGCTGGTATTCCACTTGCATTTGACAGGATCACCTTTAGAGTTGCGATTGTGTCAGTTTCCAAATTCACCATAATCTCAAAGTTTCCCTTAACAGGTGAAGAAAAATATGTTAAAGGTACAGAATTAATTTCAATTATAACTTTATATACATGTTAAAAATCAAGGCTGACATTTACAACAATAAACTATACATTAATAAAAATAATCGATTCACTTTATTTCTGCCATTTTATTCTTCCCTCCTCAACAGAAAGACTGTTTATCAAGTGAAGGTCTATTTTTCCCTCATTTTTAAAATGGGGCTTAGAGAAACTCAGATACTACTTAAAACCACTGTGTCTAAACAAAATAAGAGATTTCAGAAATCATTACAGGTCATTTGTTCCCCCGTAAAGATATAATATGAAAATTGACTGGTCAGTTTCATTTGCCAGCAGTTGCCAATATCCTCAATTGAGCAGCATACTGTTTTTAAGACGCACCTTGAGCATGATGTGACATCGAATGACATCTGTTCCAGAGGTCTTGCCAGACTCTTGTCTTAGCATTTTTGGAGCTTGTGTCAAGTTTTCCCTCGGAGTAAAAATGGCATAAATTACAGCTCCATTTTCAATGTGTCTTTCTTTCAAAGACCCTGGAAAAGAACATAATAAATAGAATAACTGTGCCAGATCCACAGTTAACAAAAAATAATAAAAAAATAAAACAAAACATTAAAACAACAATTAATTAAAAAAAAAACATTTTTAAAGTGTCCCATCTACATGTATGAAAGTATATTCCTTTCCTATGACCAAAATCATTTTAGAAACTGCTAGCGCTTACCAGCAGTCTGAAAACTATTCATTCAAGTTTGTAAATGAACTCTCCCATGGTATCATGTGATCATAAGTCTTACCCTAAAACCTGCTTGTATTTGGATAATAGACAAGATTTATTTCCTACTAATCCTGTTTCAATGATACATTAAAGCCTATATTTTTCTATCAGATTTCTTACTTATTAACAGATGGAACTACAGAGTGAACTTACAGGCAACAAATTCAAAATGTAATGGTGTCATAATTCATCAAGTTTTCAGAGGGACCTTTAAAGTAACCTACAGAGGTTTCAGAAAAGCTGACTTTATGCAGATGAGGATAAGGGAGGAAGCTAAATGGCTGACGCCATTGTCAATGACCTTCAGTTGTCCCATGCCAACCATCAAACTA